TGCGCTGGTTGGAGGGGTTGGGAGTGGGGGGGGCACCGTTCTGCGGTGGTTCTCCTCCTATCTCTCCGACCGGTCATAGTTGGTGTTGGCAGGGGGCAGAGGTCGACCCTGAGGCGCCTTGTTTGTGGGGTGCCTCAGGGGTCAGTCCTCTCGCCCCTTCTGTTCAACATTTATGGGGAAGCCGCTGGGTGAGATCATCCGTGGCTTTGGGGTGGAGTTCCATCAGTACGCTGATGATATGCAGCTGTACATCTCCACCCCAGGCCATCCCAACAATGCCCTTGAAGTGATGTCCCGGTGCCTGGAGGCCGTGCGGATCTGGATGGGGAGTAACAGGCTTCGACTCAACCCTTCCAAGACCGAGTGGCTGTGGCTTCCGGCATCCCGATATAGCCAGCTGGTGCCATCGCTGGCTATTGGGGGCAAGCTATTGGCCCCCACGGATAGGGCTCGCAACTTGGGCGTCCTCCTGGATGCACGGCTGTCTTTAGAAGAGCATATGACGGCTGTGGCCAGGGCGGCTTTTTATCAGGTCCGCCTGATTTGCCAGTTGCGTCCCTTTCTGGATCGGGACTCCTTACACACAGTCACTCAGGCACTCGTCACTTCCCGCCTGGACTATTGCAATGCTCTCTACATGGGGCTCCCCTTGAGGAGTACCCGGAGGCTCCAACTGGTGCAGAATGTGGCCGCGCGGGGGATTATGGGAGCGAGGGGTCGCTCCCATGTGACACCTCTCCTGCGTGAGCTGCATTGGCTTCCAGTGGTCTTCCGGGTGCGCTTCAAGGTGTTGGTTACCACCTTTAAAGCGCTCCATGGCATAGGACCTGGGTATTTGCGGGACCGCCTTCTGCCGCCGATAGCCTCCCACCGACCAGTACGCTCCCACAGAGAGGGACTCCTCAGGGTGCCGTCAGCCAGGCAATGTCGGCTGGCGACCCCCAGGGGGTGGGCCTTCTCTGTGGCAGCTCCTGCCCTCTGGAACGATTTGCCCCCGGAGATAAGAAGGATATCGGATCTCCGGGTCTTTCGCTGTGCCCTGAAAACTTTTCTTTTCCATCAAGCAGGGCTGGCGTGAAACCCCCCCCCTTTTTTTAGTTTTTTAGCTTTTTAGCTTTTAATCTGTCAATGGGTTTTAATTCGAATTGTTTTAAATTTGGGCCAAAGTATGTAATTCTTTTAATAATTTTAAATTTTGTATTGGTATGTGTTTTAGTTCTGGCTGTGCACCGCCCTGAGTCCACTAGGAGAAGGGCGGTATACAAATTGAATAAAATAAATAAATAAATAAATCAAATAAATGATCTGCCCAGGTGTTTGCTTCTATGTCAATTTCTTCTATGTTAAAAGTCAATTCCATTGTCGTCCATATCATGTCTATTCTAGACTATGATGAGTGTCTATTTGAATAAAAAGTATATTGTCTATTTTTTGCATTTCTTTCTCTCCATGCATCTTTTAAGTTTATTTCCTCTATCATTTTAAAGAAAGATTTCGGAAGAATCTTTCTACTTCGCTTTGTTGCTTTCTGTGTATTGTAGTCTAATTTCTCCTCTACTATACCATTGAAGTCTCCCATCAAGCAAATATTATCATAATCCAGTTCAATTATTTTTGTATGTAATTTTCTATAAAATTTTTCTTGGTTCTCATTTGGAGCGTATATTGCTATTAAAAGTATTTTCATATTATTATCTGTTATTTCAACCATCAAAATTCTTCTATCATCATCTGAATAAATTTGCTTTGCTGGGATTGTGTCTCTAATATATAAAACAACTCCTCTTTTCTTACATTGAAGTAAACATGAAGTAAATATTTTCTCTAATTTTGGCCATATCAATATTTGTTCATGCTGTTTTTTAATACATACTTCTTGTAAACAAAGTATATCAAACTTTAATTTCTCTAATTTATGAAATGTCTTTCTTCTTTTAATAGCTAAATTAAGTCCATTTATGTTTATTGTAATCAATTTTTTCTCTTCCATATTTATATTTTATAAGAAGGGTTTGTTGCTCTAGTAGATCTCGGTTCACGTTGTTCTCTATATTCCACGTTGCCATCCACTGCGCCTTCTTCTTTTTCAGTCGTTGCAATGCTTTCCTCATGTAGTTCAATCAATGTATCTTCTCTTCTTGTCTTCTCGTCTTTCTCTCTAAAGTATTCTGTACGGAATAATTCTGCTTTGTCAATTGAATCTATTCTGTATTTTTGTTGTTGCCATGTAAACGCAAGGCCTTCTGATATCAGCCATCTGTAATTCACACTTTTCTTAAGTAATATTTTGGTCAGAAAATGATATTTTCTTCTCATCTCCCTCACTCTTCTCGGTTTTTGTTTCAGAACCACAATTTCCTTATCTTTATTTTCAATGTTTTCTCTCTTGTGATCTGCAGTATTTGCGTTTTAATTGATTTCTTAGTAAATCTTATGTGGACTTCTCTTGGTAGCTTGTTTCTCATTGTGTATCTTGTAAAGACTCGAAATACCTCATCTATGCCATCCATCATCTTTTCTTTAGTAATTTCTAATGCTAATTTCTAGTGCTTCTGCTAAGATTTCTATCATTTTTTCTGCCAAGTTTACTCCCTTTTCTTCTTCTTTATTTTGAAATCTGAGGTAAAATTCTGATCTGCCCATCTCCCATCCCATTCCACTCTTATCTCGTTCAACCTCATCCAATATACTGTCAATATCTCTGATTTTTTTGTTCCTTTGTTCTTCCTTTTCTTCAATTTTTTGGAATCTTCCCTCATATTTCTTCATCATTTGGTGTATATTCTCCACTTTTTCATCTGCTTTTCTGTTCTTTGTTCAATTTTTTCTGTTCTTTGTTCAATATTTTCTGTTCTCTGTTCAATATTCTCTACTCTTGATTGTATTTTTTGAATTCCTTGCCAAATCATCTGCAATGTTATTTCCTTTTCCTTCTCTCGTTCCTTCTCCCTTTCCTGTTGCAACATCGTCTGTATTGATCGTTGTCCTCCAGATGGTGAAGAGGAAGGAGTCGATGTAGCAGAACCAATAGCTGTTGCCTTTCTACTAATTTCTGTGTAATGGTTGAAAAAAAAATTCAAACAAGTAGAAAATCTTCAGGTTCTTCTATACCTTCCACTTATATGGAGGACAGATATTGTCCAAAGTAACAATAAGAAAAAGAAAAAGAAAAAAGATCTTCAGGCTCTTATATGCCTTAATCCAATTAAATAGAGAGATATTGATCAAATTAACAATCTCCAATCAAAAAAAAGAAAGAAAGAAAAAGAAAAAGGCCAAAAAAGAAAAGGGAAAAAAAACAATAAGGTATATGTGTATAAAAAGTTAAAAATCCTCCAAGAGGCCACAGTCCAACTAAAAATAATTAAATAAGGGGGAAGTGGAGAAGTAACACCAAAAAAGGGGGGGAGGAGAGGAGAGGAGAGGAGAGGAGAGGGAGAAAACAAGCTTTCTGACTGAAAGGCAGATCCACCATTGTATAATAATCAAAACTCTTTTGTTAAATTTCAAATAATTATTTACAGCTCTCTTTCCAGAGTCACTGCAATCTTCTTCTTTTCAATCTCAGACTCCTGCCACTAATAGTTTCCCAGAAGAACACCTGAATAAACAATCATGTAAACAGTCTTTGATGCTCTTCCCACTATCTTATCTATAAATAGGTTCAGAGTCTTTGGAGTGTAATACAGTAACACAGTTGTTACTTTCTTGAACCAGAGGGGGAAAAAAAGAGACAATATTTCAAGTCCACTAGATGGCAGTGTTACTTATTATCTCCACTTTCTATTCCCTTCTTATATTCAGTACACAATAAAACAAAAAGAGAAAGAAAAAAGTAAACAGAAAATAGACCAAAGAGAAAATTTATACCAAAAAGGCACTAAGAATTTAGTAGTTAAGTAGATAAAACGGAAATCTCCAGTCCAATACAGTCCAGTCGAAATTAAAAAGTAAAAACTTCCATAAACATCCACAAATAAAAATATGTTAAAAAATAGGAAAAGTTACATTAGACTTAGGCTTAATTCCGCCGCTTAACCTCTTCTGTCTTTGATTTTCATTTTCTTTTGACCTCAGAGCGTTCTCTCAAATAATATATTTAAAATTTATCTCACCAAACCAACACACTTTCTTCCCAACTTCTTCCATTTCGGAGCTGTCCCAACTTCAGCAACTTCAATGGCTGCCTCTTCGCCACCGGAAAAAAGGGCTTCTCCTGGATCAACAAGGGACTTTGTGATGTCCCTGGGATCAGCAGGATGTACCCTCCACTATCACCGTCTCTACAGGAGGTCCAAAACGGACCGTCCAGAGGCGAAGATATCGACAGCGATCTTGGAGCTTCAAGATCGCCCACCATACCATTGCGACGCCAGCTCCACCCCCCAGAATTTTTTTCTTTTTGAGGATATAGTGGTAAAATCAAACTCTGCTGCTTGATGTTAGGAGCCATCTATAAAACGTAACATTTTTGCCTTAAATATTGGTATCAAATTATATACATTTGATGCTTGAAATTAATCTGTTAGTCCAGTGAACCTACCAAATTTAATTACAATAGAATACAAACGTTGATCATATTGTATCTGCAAGAAAGTAGTTTTTAAAAGTTGAGTATCTGTAATCTAATATGTGAGATACATATAGAAGTAGTTCATTTTATTCATTTTGTTTTGTTTTGATATTCTGATCAAAAACTGTCTGGAAATGCAAATAACATGATGTATATTTTATGTAACTCTTTAATTGTTGAATTGCAATTCCAAGTGGCAATAGTTTCTTTACTTTAGGTGCCAGATGACATCTTGCTGACTTGTGGCCCAAATCTTTTATCTATGAGGTCTAACTATCTCATGATGTTAGTTGGCCTTTTTCATCTTGCACAAGATTCACCCAAAGCCTTAATGATAAAAACAGCAAGACCAGACAGGTGTGACCTTCAGTTTTGTCTACCAAAAGCCACCATTTTTTTTTGTTTTTTATTTTTTAATCTTCTGCAGATGACTTTGAATCCAAATACTCTTTTCATCCAGTTGAAGATTTCCCAGCTCCAGAAGAATTCAAATATTTCCAGAGAATTTATCCCAGCAAAACTAACAGAGGTAAATACTAAACTGATGTAGTACACCATCACGCTGCACTCACAGTTTACAAACTGGCAGGCTTAACCAGTGATTTAAGGACAATCCATAAGACAAAAATGCTGCCACCAACAGTATGAGTCAAATTGTATTTATCATTAATTTACTTCTACAGGTAGTCCACTCATTCAGTGGCTATTTAAAGTTGGGATGGCATTGAATGAGGGGTACTTACAACAAATTCTTGTACTTCTGGCTGCTGCAGCATTCCGCTGTCACATGTTTAGCATTTTTGACCTTCACTGCTGGCTTTTAAGCAAAATCAAGGGAAACTATCAAGAGGTCACAAATGGTGATCATGTGGGAGTTGCCTAACAATGCCAATTGGGAATTGCTGGAATAGCCATCACAAGTTGGCATAGTCACGTGACATTGCCCCTTATGACCATGTCACTTAGTGATGCAGTTCCCAGTCCCAATTACTGTTGGTGATTGTTTCTTGATTGTTCCAAATTATGCCAATTGTGCAACCTTATATATGTTATGCCCACAGTTCTCAAATTGCCATGGCACCATAGTAAGCTCACCAGAATCATTGAGAAACATTGAGAAAAAAAGTTTAGGAATTATTGAGCTGTGCATTTGGGTTTTGTCTTTTCATAAGGAAGAAGGAAAGATATTAGAAACCTAGATGGATATAGAGGTATCTGAAGCAGATAGACAATAAGGATGACAAAGGAGCTCATGTTTTTACATAATGAAAAATTTGTAGGAGGATATGTTAATTAAAGCAGGTATTTAATTTTTTTAAAAAGTGACAATAAATACTTTGGTAACATTAATAGGCCTTTCATTTTTTATGAAATGAATATACATATATACACACACCCACATACATACATACATACATACATACATACATACATACATACATACATATTAATTAATTTTCTTAGGATGATAACATCCATGTAACATTTTTATTGTCTTTTTTGTTTGGTGGTCATAGTTCCGGTAGAAGGAAGCACCTGGATGTATAATACCCATGTATTAACAATCTCTCTTATCTTTTCAGCTACTCGTGGGGCCCCTCCTCTGCCTCCTGTCCCTAGGTGAAAAACAACAAATGAGCATTTTTGCTTAGCACCAAAACAAATAAGACTTGTTCTTAAATTCTCTCCCCGCCTCCAAAAAAATCATTCCTTAAAAATCTGCATGAAAAATACATTCCTACTTTTTTTTTTAATTGCAAGAACCTGGATGGACTTATCATTACTCAACTTTGTCTATGCATTTCATTCCCTGATATAAAAAGGCATCTGTGGGCATAGCCAGGTGAGAATATTCCTGCAGATCAATACTAATTTCCTACCTTTCCTGCTGTCTTTGCCACGAAGGGGGGGAAACCCCACTTCATAAACACTACAGTTCAAGAACAAGGGAAGAGTGAATGTTTCCCAGGAAAGAAAACCAAACAGAACAACAAAACTGTGGGCCAAGTTGAAGCAGTTATTTATAGATGTTAGTTTGTCATAAGGAAGGAAATTGTATGGATTAGGAAACATTCATTTTTTTTAGAGGGTTGTGCTATGAAAAGAATTGAAATGGCTGCTTCATTTTTCATTGCAGGCACTACATACTCAATTATTAAACTTTGTAACTTAAAGCAGGAACTAAATGGCATGTCTTAAAGACAGTTTAAAAATTGATGAAGCTGCATAAGAGTAGCAGTATCTGTAGAAGTGCACCAACAAAAGGGGCGAGTAAAGCAGTTACCATGCTATGTTTTGGCAGAGTTCTCGTCCTGCAGATCTGGACTCATAATCTTTGATTGTCAGTTTCTCCAAAAGATAGCTGGCATCCTAAATGAAGCTTCTCAAAATGGGATTGTGTTTCTACAGAATAAAAAATACCATTGTAGAGATGAACAGATTGTAAAGTCTAATAGCCATCATTGATATCTGTGTTGTATTAAAAAAAGGCATGACTGATATTGAGGCAGTAGCACCCCTTAAAGTAAAAAGAACAATGTCCTGACAAGCACTGGGGATGAAGAACTATTTTATAGCAAACTAGTTGCAATACAATGCTGGCCATAGATAATACACTGAAGATGCTACACCAGTATAGAACAAAATATATATTAGGTTCCAACTTGTTAGAAGAATTCCTAATGCTTGAATGTCCTGTGTCTTCAGAAGATCCATCTTGCTCTCATTAACAGAAATGCCCAACTTCATTGTCTTATCCTATGAATATCTTTCAGACATAATCAGTCTTGAGAATGTAACCATCTATTGCTGAGGGATGGCAAAAGAATGAGAAGTATTCTATTTTTTTCTGAGAAGTGGATGGGCCCTGGCTACTACCTATCCCAAGAAGAGCGTCACTGACTGACTGAAGGTCCCATTGGCATACATTCCGGTCTAGTAATGGGGAACATACCTTTGATGGCAGACTTCCAGTTACAGTTTTTAAATGACACACCATTTTGTTCTAGCTCAAAGCTGATCTTTAGTGGTTAGTACCTACTTCAATGAAACAACTTTGAAAGTGATAGAAACTGGTGAAATCCCTTCATATTTTATTTTTGCTGGTTGTACACAATTGACAAAGTTTTCTGTGGTTCTTGCACAGACATTTTTATGAGGTGGAGGGTTGTCAGTCATGTTTGTGACTTTTAGGATGGTTGTTAAATCCTTTGCAAGAGTGCCACTAATTCCAGCTAGGTCTCTTAGTGGCGTCATAAGAAATTTGATATGCTGGCCTTGTCTCTGAGATCAAAGGAGGCATTTACATTTGGTGTTTTCCAATATCAGAAAAAGGCCAAGTATGGATTGCACATCTGCTTCTCAACCCAGTAGTTTACACTGCTGAAGAGTCCCCTATGGGGATGCATCTCTCCCTCTCCCTCTCCATCTCTCTCCATATAAATCTGTTGGAAAGCATATTCTAGCAGTAGAAATGCCCAATTCTGGACTAGACACCACTAAGCAGACTGAAGCAGAAGCAAAATTTTCCTCTCATCTTATCTCATGCTCTGGTGGTTGTAACATCAAGCCTAGATTGCTTGTTGATGTTTTGCCTTATACAGTAGTTCTGTTATGTGATTGGTACCAGATTTATTATAATTATTGTGTGTGTTTACTCTTAAAAATGTGGCGTTGGAAAATTTGTGTTACAATGATAAATATTGATCTATTTTGTATGTTGTAAAAAAATTTGTAGGCTTGCTAGCCATACACTACAAAAATTCCTTTACCACCTACTTTTTTTTTTTTTTTTAATGATGATGGAAATTTGTCTGCTTTTAAGTTAATGACTGGGCAGTCTCTCATGTTGAGGGACTAATGCTTGGTCAGAGGAATTTCTTTTTTTCTTCTGGAAGAAAATTAAAATCTTATCCAGCATAACTCGCTGGGAAGAGAAGTTAAATGCACTGTGCATTTTGGGGAAGGGTATTTTTTTTTTATTATTATGTTCTGTATAGTGTTGGCTTCCAGTAAGTATATCCTTTAGGAAGCACTGTGAAGGGGGTTCTTAAGCTTGAAATGGCAGTCAAATGGAAACTGAATACAAGAGGCATAGGGTCATACTTGCATGTTAAAGCGCTGCTTTATTTCTTCTTGTTGCCTCTTGCCCATACTCCTCCCTGGGCCAAGCTATTTGGTGGTTTAATTACGTAAGTGGACAAGATGTATTTGCTTTTCCTTACTAAGGCAAGAGTTTTGTACAAGGTGAATTTAAACACATACATTTTCATACACATTCTGAAAACATTCAGAGAAACCATATATTTCCAGCTAGCATTACCAAGGTAAAAATCTTAATTCTCTTATAAATCAGTTTCACCAGTCTAGTGCCCTCCCTCCCATTTGTGTTGTTTGCAACATCCAATAATTCTAGCCAAGAATTTGTTAAATGATGGCAATTGTAGTCTATCATCTGTGAGATCCATCTTAAGGGAGACAGCCTTTTGTCGATTTTGAACTTACACAGTCTTCCTTGCTCAAAAAATCTGTTTGTATCTGGAAAACTAAATTTGTGGCTTGTCAGTCTTCATCCCAGTCTTCTTTCTTACTTGCTATTGTTTTAGTGCAACTTAAAGTAGAATATTAAGATACGTTTTACACTCTTTTCTTACCTCTATTTTTAAGGATGGTATAGGACAAAGTATATACTTTTATTCTTCACAGTGTATCTGACCTTTTCTCAAGATCTGAAATGATCAAAATGTCAATTCAGTAATATCTAGTTTCTTTAGCTGATCCAGGAATTTTTAAAAGTTTTATCTGTTTGATTTCTTGAGGCAATTCTATAGTTTTATATTGTATATCAACAAATAAGCCCATACAATGAAGATTTGAAAATCTCTATATGTACAAGAGATACACAGTGATGCTGTGAAGGCTAATTACATCTACCAGTACAAAAACAGGAACCATTGCAAAGAACTGTGTGTCATGCTATCCTGTAATTGTAAGTTTCAGATGTTGCGAACATGAGTTTTAAGAATTGGGATTTTCTCTTATTCTTTAAGGTTTAGGAGAAGGCCTTTGTAGCTTTTTAACTCTCGCCATAATTAGCAGATTTTATGCAACCCTTCTCGTTGAAATATATCAATTTTTCACTGCAGCTGTGCAAATATGCCAAGGAAAAGGCTTTTATAAGGGGTGTAATGTTTATTTTCTTTAACAGCAAATGCTTCAAGCTTCATTCATGGTGCCTTATCCTTAAATGGCTCCCAATGCAGTTTTGTGTCTGTGCATGCACACAAATTTGGGTATTGCAATCTTCATGCACACAGTGTCTGCTCAGCAGTTTCATTTCTATTTACTGCAGAAACACTACTGAGTAATTCCTGTAGTTTCAAGAACCAGAATTTTAGTCTGTTGCATTGCTGCTTTGGTTTTAAATCTGATTTTTCCCTTTCGCAGAAAATGTCCTTTTGGAGTTTTTTCTTTGCAAGTGTTTCAAGTAAATTTGTTTAGTTTGTTGGTGGTGAAAGAATTCTTGAGTCCATTGCAAGGGCACATGTGGACTTGTTTTAAAGACAAAAATTCTTACATTACAGGACTTGCATGTAATATTCTTTCATAATTTTATTGCCCTTATTAAATAACTGAGAACTCTCGATGTGGCATTAGGAGGAGTTTCATTTTTAAGTCATTTTGATAACTTTCACATTAAACAGTCAAATACTTCACATTCACCTAAATTCCAAAGACTGTGACATATGATGATAAGTATACTGTAGATCAGTGTTTCTCAACCTTGGCAAAGATATGTGGACTTCAACTCTTAGAAAGCCGGCCGGCTGGTTGGGAACTGGAATGCACTCATCTTCAAATTGCCAAGATTGAGAAACAGTGCTGCAGATCATTTTCCTATATTTTTAAAAAATATAAAAAGTTTTTTTTTTAAATTGCTCTCTCCTAGTGGGATCTTTCAAGAACTGTTGCTTCTCAGTTTTCTTTTTCATTTGCAGGGGACAATAATTACTGTATCAATCAATAGGAAGGATGGCTATACAACTTCCTCACAAAGTTAAAAGTTATTGCTCATTTGGGCAGTGCATAATGCTCCCAGTACAATACAATTACATAGCTCTGAACGGGAAGATCATTCCCTCTTTCTCTTCAATCTGTACCATTAATCAGCATCTTAGTTTTAACATGCAGATCAATCATGTTCCCTATAGTTGAGATGAGAATAGCCTGTGAAGATAGCGTATGCTGAAAGGTTGGTTTCAGGGGAGGAGAAAAGTATACTACTTTTATTTCATAGTGGCTATGTTGGATAATGCCTCCTCTTTTAATATTTCACTACTTCATAAGACACTGTATCTGAACCACAGAAGTGGTGCTGTCTCTTATTAAAATTGTAGCTGCATTGACTGATGCAGAAGTAAGTCTGTGTCCATGATCTAATAAATTAATCAAATACAAATACTGTTTCTGCAATTTGTTCTCTGTTTAAGCATATATCACTCTGAATATGTCAAGTATTTTTATTTATATTTCATTTTATCGGCTTAGTGCTATTTGAGATTTCACAAATCAGTTCCCAAGAAATTCACACAACCTGCCTTTGGAGACTTTTGAGGAAACAAATAAGAGCAAACTAAGAATTCTTTGCATTTACCAAGTTCTAATATAACCTATTCTACAGTACAATTTCTCCTGTGATATATTTCATTTTATTTTCATTTATTTTTCTGATTGTCAAATGCAGGTAGGCCATAGGACTCCCCTTTTTCTCTTGCTCCTTTTTTTTTTTTTGAAGAAAAAAATTGCTATAGGAAAGGAAGTGATAACTTCCGTTATTGTATAGATATTCTTCAATTAACTGCTGCCTCGTTCAGTGACCATTCTAATTTATAATGGTGTTGAAAAAAGCATCCAAGGATCACCTGATTGCCATTTGTAACATTTCCAGTCAGTTTCCGCCCAGCAAAGTCAACTGGAAAGTCAACAGTAAGTTGCAAGTTGTGGAGATGGGATATCATGTTTAATGATTGCAGGTGGTTTGCTTAACAATTGAAGTAAAACTTACGTTTGTAGATTATGATTATGTGATGTTTCACTTAATAGTGCTGCTTAATGATGAGACTGTTGGTCTCAGTTATGATTGTTACATGAGGACTACCTATATGATTTCCCAATGGTACCCATATTTTAAAATTATTTTCAGGAGTACTTTGATACATCTGGAAGAGAAAGACTTGTAGGTTTTTAAAATCCTATTTGTTTCCTATCAAACTATGACAGGTATTGTGATTAAAACAATAGCACTTGCTACTCTAAATTTTGAATCTGATTTAATCTGAAAATAGATTTATGTAGTCTATGGAACTAATGTATCAAATCAGGCAATTAGTGAAAATGGCAGGATATGCTGTTATATTTGAAAGATTATATGGTAATAGAAGGCTGAAATGTATAGATACACCAGCCAAGAACTAAATGCTGTAAAAAGTCGTGCTACCAATTTAATTCTTCCCAAGTGCTTTGGACTATAGCTGTCATAATAAATTACCAGGTTTGCTGGCATATTGTATGAAAATTATAGTTGTAAACATCTAGAGAGTATTGTCTCTGCTCTGCTACAACTTCCATTTTTTACTTCCAAGTGGAAACATTCAGTAATTTTCGCAGCCTTCCAGACATTTGTACTGCAATTTACGAAATTCACAACCCCCAAAAATTTAGCTCCTACAGCTTGCATAAGCATTCTCTTTCCCGCTAGAAAAAAAAAATGCTCAGAGCGCGCTCTTTTTTGACTACTTGTCGAAGCTGGTTCCCTTTTATTTTGCAGCAAGGTTCGATGGGAATTGTAGTTTCGTTTACTAAGTGGCAAATTTTGCATTCAGTGAAAGGCTGCTTGCTTCTGCTTTCTTAAGCGGGAAAGAAGATCCTCCCTGGGAGGATCCTTGTACTGCCCTATTTTTTATTTTTTTTAATGTGAAAAAGAAGGGAGGGGAGACCAGTTGAGCGGCAAGAAGAGGAGAGCGGCGTAGAAGAGGCAGGGCCAATGGGAAAAAAAAAAATGCGTTCGGCGCGAAGAGTGGTGATTGGTTGGCAAGGAGCGGCCACCTCTCGGATTAACCAATCGGCAGGACCGAACGGCTAAGAGCGCGCGCGGAGAAATTCCGCCAGTCAGTCTTGGGGAAGAGGTGAGCGAGCGACGAGCTTCCGAGGATTCGGTTTGTGGTGGGTGCTGTGTTTCGGGCTCAGTCGGGAAAGGGCGGTATAGAGCTTGAGGAGGGGAACTTTCTGTATGCGGGAAAGAATCCGCTTTCCATGGCAGGATTTGAAACCTGAACATGCTGCCTAAATCAATCTCTCTCTCTCTCTCTCTCTCTCTCTCTCTCTCTCTCTTTCCCCCACCTCACCCCCCCCCGATATATTGGACGGTAGTCCCCGTTTCACCGTCCAACGGGGTGATGGGGGATAATTCTGTCAGCAAAGATAGACGTTGTGGTAAAATGGGGAGGGCATAAATTGGAGACGGCCGCGCTAAGAAACACGCGCCATTGAAGCCTATACCTTTCCCGGTTAAAAGCATGGCAGGTCTGCGCTTCCGTTCCCGTCTAAGTGGCAGCGATTCTGGGAGGACGATCCAAAATATATAGATGGAGATATAGATATCGTGGCGTAGGAAGAGGCTGGTTGCCCGTTCCCTCATGCAGCTCCTTCCATGAAAAAGTAAGCCAGCCAGCCTTACTTAGCTTGATGTGTTCAAGGCACGTTGTTGCAACATCCGAGGCAAGGGCCACGTTGGCTATAGATAGAAAGAAGGGGTTGTAATCCTGAGAGCACCAATTTTAAAACTGCCCAGCAGCCAAAGCTCTCTGGATTTACTGTAAAACACTAAAATAAGGCAGTTTGAATAAAAAATGTGTACAATAAAATTCAAAATATAGGCATAGCCTGGAAAAATAAAAGAGCCTTCATCTGGTGCAAAAAAAAATGATGCCCATGTGGATGTCAATTGAACTGCTCTTGGAAGGAAATTCCATAAATGGGTTGCTACCACTGAAAAAGCTGTCCCCCTTTTAAAGGCCTACCTCATTTCCTTTGGGAAAGGTCTTCATTTAATTATTTTAATGTCTGGGTAAAAATATATATTGGAGAGTTGAGAGTTTTAAAAGTTTCGTTTGAAAGTCCATGTGTTAGTATCTAGGACCATTCTGAAGCCAAAGTGCTATTTCAAAGTTTTAAAGCTAAGAAGTAAAATGGGAGAACTTTTTCTTGCTGTTTTTCATTTAACTCATGCTGTCTACTAGCGGATACATTTATATGAAACCTCCCTATTTGGAAGTATTTCAACACTAGAGCTTGAACAAGCAAATGGGGCATGTTATGGATCTTTGTAATATTTGATAGATTTAATAAGTTGGCCTCTATCAAAATTTAAAGCTAGGATGAATGCACGTTTTATGATAATGTTTAGGATTTTATTACATTTAATAAGGGTACAAAGGAAGTAAAGAATAAGGGAAGGATAAGTATACAAGGGATGAAGAATCAAACTTTGGGTGCAGAATAAGAGTAATTAAACTTGAGAACCAAGATACACTCAGAAGAGTGGAACAATAAAACAGATCCCCACAACTCATGCAAAAATCCCTGGTGATTTTGTGGATATATCAATGTACTTTTACCGGTATGGAAATGGTTGGCCACTGTCTTCTAGGATTATTTTTAAATTTCTCAGCCAAGTCTTAAGGTTTCATTCTGGTCTCCCTTTCAAATATTAGCCAGGTTTATTTTATTTTATTTTTATACCGCCCTTCTCCTGAAGGACTCAGGGCGGTGAACAGTCAAAATAACATATATATAAAAATGTGAAATAGAAGCAATTTAAAATAATTAAGCCAATTTGGCTCATCAGTTAAGTTAAGGTTTGACACTTCTCTGAAATCAGACAAGTTTGATTAATGCTGCCACTTAACTGAGCAATACAGTGGAATACTTAATAGTGAATACTGTTAAGAAAAATGTGTACTTTTAAGTTGGTATGGAGGTCCTGCACTTTAACCCTGACTGGGAAGGTCTTGGCTGTCCCTGTTTGGGGGGGGGGATATTCTATGCTTTAATCCATTTTGATTTTGTTGATGTAGGAAAAGAAGTATCAGCAGGAGACAGAATACTTGGTCTAGCTACCTTAGAAACTATCCGTAGCGTATTAGAGATTTCTAGAGAACACTTTGCTTACTTTGAATACTTTTTTTCTATCTTTGGTTCTAGTATGTCCATCATGCCCAGTACTAGGTCACAGTCCCAGAGCCAGAAGATTATAGACTTTCCAAAGCGAAAATCAGTCAGGACACTTCAGAAATCATTAGAGAAAAAGAATGGTTCCCATCTAGATCCAACAACATTGCCAGTCTCTTTGTCGTCTTCCCCAAAGCAGGTCTTACCTCTCAGTCCCCGCAAACGCCTAGGTAAGTTGTTCTTCCTTATACCTCCCAAATATCCTAGCATAATGTTGAATATCAGCATGTGTAGATCCTTTTCTTTAAAATTAAGGTAATAGAAAGGGTTGAAAAATTACAGGTAGTCCTTGACTTACAACAGATCATTTACTGACTGCGGCAGTGAAAAAAGTGACTTATAATCATTTTTCACACTTATGACTGTTGCAGCATCCCCATGGTCACGTAATTTACGTTTGGATGCTTGACAACTGGGTAATATTTATTATATTTACAGTGTCCCAGGGTTATTTGATCCCCTTTTGCAACCTTCTGACAAGCAAATTCAATGGAGAAACCAGATATCACTTAACAGCTATGTTACTAACTTAATGGCTGCAGTGATTCACTGAACAAATGTGACAAGAAAAGTTGTAAATTGAGGCAAAGCTCACTTAACAAATTTCTCACTAAGCAACATAATTTTTTATTTATTTATTATTAAAATTTATATGCCGCCCTTCTCCAGTAGGTCTCGGGGCGGCTCACACAATAAAAACCACAACAATAAAATACTAAAAACCAATACAAATTTAAAATCCCCAAAGTTAAAAGCCTCATAGTCGATCAGGGAATTTGCTGAAAAAGCCATGTCTTCAGGCCAGCACAGAAAGTGTGGAGATTGGGAGCCGTGCGGAGATCGGTGGGTAACCCATTCCAGAGGGTTGGTGCGGCCACAGAGAACGCCCTCATCCTGAGGGTCACCAGCCGACATTGTCTGGCCGGCACCCGGAGGAGGGTATTTCTATGAGAACGCACTGGGCGGTGGGAGGCTGGTAGGAGGTGGTCCTGCAAGTACTTCGGGCCCATGCCATAAAGGGCTTTATAAGTAAGTACCAGCACCTTGAAGCGGATCCGGAAGGCCACCGGTAGCCAGTGCAGCTCGCGCAGGAGAGGTGTTCCATGGGAGTAACGGGAAGCTCCTGTAACAACCCACACGGCCACATTCTGGACCAGCTGGAGCCTCTGG